CTTAAATTGCAAAAAATCTTTATAGATAGTTTTTTTTGATCTTATATTTAAAAAAAAAAACTTTTTTAATAGTGAAGAACATTTGAATTATATCTTTGTTTTTAATTTAGAGACCTATTTTTATTCATTATATTAAATATCCTTTGTAATATATGACTATAACTAAATGCTTATCTATTAATTTTATATATTAATATCCAGATGCTTATTATTTTATGATTTTTCTTTATGATATCAAAAAACTATAGGAGTAAAAATCTCACTACTAGTTTTAAACTATCTAACCTATAGGACTTATATGCATATAGGAACGTAGATTGTTAATTTATTTTTATATGTCACCTTGTTATTTCATACTTTATATATATAATCCACAAGTATAAATGATCTTTGATGCAAGTATATACTTTTTAATGAATACTTTAATTTTAACTACTAATTAATATAAATCATTAAATTTATAGATTCTTTTGATCAAGTGAAATATGATTTCTAAAGGGTTTTGGATCCTAAATCTCTTAGTAAATACTTTGAAACAGATTAGTTAATATAAGTTGTCAAATTTGTAGATATAAATATCAAGCAGGACACAACTCCTATATATTTTGTCTTATTGTATAATAACTATATCATTCTATAAAAGTAAAGATAGTTGATCTGCTTCAAGACTTCTTAGTTTTGATAAATTAATAGGTAGAAAGATAATTGAAATTGGTTAAGATAGAGTACAGTCCAGTTTATATATTTAAATATAAGAAAAATCTTAATTAAAGAAGTTAAACACATGTTTTTTAGTTTATTACATTGTTCAATTACTGTAGGCATGCTTCTGACAATTATTGTAATATTATTTAGACAATTATCACACCATAACACCTTTTTTGGAAATCATAATCTTAACATTTACTGGATTAGCATATGAAATAACTTCTTATAAGAAACAGTATAAACAGGTTATAGTATTAGGTACTATATAGGTTATATTCAATTGTTTTCATCTGGGATTGAGTTGGTATCTTGTGATTTGACCTGTGAAGGATTAACTATTATATTATATATTTACAGATTTTTCAAATATATTTTTTCTTAATCAAAGATTCTATTTTAATATATTAATATGTTTTATTAATTTTTTTAAGGTTTTTATAGTAAAGATAAAAAAAGTATAAAAAATTTTTGAATTTTGAAAGGCAAAACAAATATTTATTTTTTTAATTTTGAAAAAATTAATTATAAAAAATTTTTTTTAAAATATGAAAAAAAGTTTTTTTTTATTATTTATTAAATTTTTTATAGAAATAAATAATAAATATTATATTAAATATATAATTATTCTATAAACATAAATATTTTTCTTAAACAATTATCTTTAAATTAATTTTTTTTTGTTAAAAAAATAAAATCAAAAAATTATAATTATTTGTATTTTAATAATTGATTATTGTTGTTTTTTTTATAATTGACAAAAAATTTAAAAATTTTAAATTGTTGTCTCTTTTTAGTTATAATCTACAGTAATAATATTATTTTAATGTATTTAAAAAAATTTTTTTAATACATTTCTATTTTTATGTCTTTAAATACAAACATAAGTATATTTTAATTTTATTTTATTTCAATTATTTTTGTTTCATACTATATATATATATATTTAAAAAAAATACGACTTTAAAAAATAGATACAGTATATTTATGATAGTTTATTTCATTACCATTATAATTTTTTTCTTTTTATTATTAAATAATAATTGATCGTAATTAGTGATCAAATTTTTAATAAATGATTCGGTTCAATAATTGTTTATTCTTATCAGATTACTGGTTATTCTTATCAGATTATTGGTTATGCAGTGCGTCACGTTTTTTTTTTGCAAGATTCCGATGTCCTTGCGCTATTAACCGCAGAGGGTGGGGGTATTACGCAATGTGTGTTGCATCTCCTGAAAAAAAAAGTTTATCGCCAAAATCGCAAATCTTGAAATGGCAAATGCAAAATCTATTGAGTGGTTTCATGATCAATATTTGTCTTCAGGCTCTTCTGACCAATGGCAATGATACATTTTCGACCAAAGATCTTTTTCATCAGGAGTATTGGGGAATAAATCCACATACCACATGTACTATTGACTATTGCATCGGCCGTTTTTTCGGTCGAATTTACTATTTTAGCGTCATAGATAACATTTCAGAATGAAAATAATTTAATATTACGTTAAATGGGTTTACGCGAATGTGTTACTGTTTTGTCGATTACCTCCTTCTTTATATTTGAACAAGGATACGCAACAGTTTTCGAGTTCCCAGAATCTTTGAATAACACATCTCAAGCAGAAATGAATATGCGAGTTGTACGGTTGTACTATGTACGGGAGGTCTAATGTCCTTCCGCCCTAAAATCATGACCTTGATTTTCCATATATTCGACAATCTAGGAAATTGGAATTTGAATGCACGAATACATTTTTCTTGGATGACTGCATTAAATGAGATAACCGGATTATTATTCCGGACTGAAAAGTCGGTTTCTCACTGTGTCTCGCCACTCGCCATTACAGTTTGAAAATTGTAACAAACTGATTTTAACGATTGATTACATATCTCATGTGACCCACGATTGGCGTCGGTACTTTTCGGAACTTTTTGAGATAAGAATATATATATATATTTGACGTTTAAAAGATTTTACTATTGTTTATATAAATAGGAAGATTCTAAGTGTGATAACTCATACGTCTACAGCATATATTCATTCCATTGCATTATGGGGGAATTCAACGCCTAGATCTCATACACAGAAAAGTGCTTGAATATCGTTATTATCGCCATTATTATTCAATTTACTCAAAACGTAAATAATTGGTTGTTTCTTTTTTTATAAGATTGGTACGTACGTATGATTAGTAATTGATGAAAATTTATGCTATCGAGATTAATAATCATATTGTTGAGGGGAAGAATTTTGAGAGATTTCAGTTGAACCATTCATTTATTTATATAGAAAAAAAAAAATAAATACCCAATGGTTGATTGTTTAAATTCAAAAAGAATACAGTATTCTTATTATCAAAATATGGGATCTAAGATAATTATGTCAAATCATAAATCTATTATTTTTTTCATACATAAATAATTTATTTTTATAAAACCTATACTGTATCTTGGAAGGATTGTTTATCGCAATTGATAATTAAAACGTGCGTTCTTGTTGATACGTTCTTCGCGTTACTGTATTGCAATCTCAATGCTTGCTATGGATTCTTTTTTTTTTTTTTCATCTGAATTTTGGTGATCTTTTGTCGCACAGCTCGCTGTGTACATTACTTACCTGATTTGCTGCTATAGAATTGAATGAAAACTTATTTCGTGTTATTATCATTAGGTGGTCATTTTAGAGCGAAGCAATGGAGAGAGTGTCCGTTCTACTAGTCTGGTCAGTGTGTTTAAAAGTTCACTAAGAAAGATTGGAAAATCTCCCCGTCGTCTTCGTTCCATTATTGCTTGAGGTCACGTGCACAATCCTGACCTTATCCAAAACACAATGATTGTATTAAACGGGAAATCAATGAAAGGATGAACACGTGCTCTACATTGTTACACGATCCAAAATGATTTGTTTAAACTCCGTCTCTCCCTTGTTCGGATATTATTGTTTACGTTTTCTCTTTTAACTTTTTCCTTTTGTAAAAAAAGACCGAAGACAAATACGCTTGATGTTTTCTTTAGTCTTGTTGGGCTAAGGAGAACTTGCGGTGTATATACTCGAAAAAGTAAGTTTCAATCTATTTCCCCGCTGTTGTGGTTGAAAAGAAAAATCTTTTCCTTTTTTTTTAGAACCCTGTTCGATAACGGAGATTTTATTTTTATTTTATTATTACCATTTTTTTATTTTTATTATTATTTTTTTTTTTTAGACTGATATATAATACCCAGGAGTCTTTTTGTTTTTCTTTTTACCTTTTTTCTGTCAAAAAGAATCGCCTGAAGAAAAAAAAAAAAAAAATTTTTTTTCCTACCCGTTTGATGTTATACGATACAACGAAAAATTTTTTATTGGTGGTAAGTCCTTTCAACGTTAGATGCAAAGACAACCTTCAGTCCAACTCACGTTCCCTCTAACTTGAACTGGTTTCCTTTTGAACGTGTCTCGAATAGAAGCATATACACAAAGGATCGTTAAGAGGATTCTAACATTTGATTCCACATGATTTCAACAAAACGTTCAGCTGGAGAGAAAATGAGTCAACCGGCGAAATTACCTAATGCCAAACGAAGGAAGACATCGACAGCCCGTTCCAAAGGCAAAGGACGAGCCAACCCGGTACCATACTCGACTCCAATTAATTCGCTTGATCTTCCCATAGCGATGAGAATGCCACAAGAGATACTTAACAATATATTTAACAATCTAGTGGATCATCCTGTTCATTTTACTCGTGTAGCACAAGTCTGTAAGTCATGGCAACTCGCCGCCGACACACATCTTTATTGGAGGCATTTAGTTAGAAAACTTGGGTTGTCACCGCCGAAACCAAAAGCAAAAAAGTTCAAAACTTACAAAAGAGTAGTGGAACGTGATTGGGGAAAATTTTGCAGTTTATGTTTTCGTGGACATCGTAATGGACATGAGAGATTAAGTCTTCGCGAGGAGAAGATAGACCTGGTTAAGGTTGCAGAGGCCTACCGAGATCTAAATACTAATTGGTTTAACATATTTAAGGATAACGTTGATTTTCAAGTATCCTTTGGTCACGAGTATGAGGTATTGGAAGTTTTGGAAGCTGTCAACCTTGTCCAAAGTGAAGGCAAATTGGCGGACTCGAACACAAAGTTAACCTCGACTCCGAATTTCCAAATTCCTCTTCTTGACAACCAGGAACAGAATGAATTGGAATTTTTAGATGCCGATCAATTTTACAATAACATATCTGCGAAAAATTCAACATCTCCAACGACGTTTTTAAGTGGCTTATCGTTACCAGTGCCATCGTCATCGAACAACTTTTCATCAATGGCCACTAGCAGTTTTTCGTTGACACCATCGAACAATTTTTCGTCGGCTTCACCTAACAACAATCTTTCGTCGGTATCATCTAACAACAACTTTTCGTCGGCATCATCTAACAACAACTTTTCGTCAACACCACCTACCAATAACTTTTCGTCAAAACCACCTACCAATAACTTTTCGTCAAAACCACCTACCAATAACTTTTCGTCAACACCACCTAACAACACCTTTTCGTCAACACCACCTAACAACACCTTTTCGTCAACACCACCTAACAATATCTTCTCATCGATGTCGTCTGACAACTTTACACCATCCAATAATTTTTTATCGATACCACCCGGTAACGCCTTCACATCAACATCACATAATGACAATTATTTATCATTACCCATGTCCTCTTCTGAAAACAACTTTTCGTCGACATTATCTTCCAACGGGAGCTTCTTGTTAACACTTCCGGACGTCTTTTCGTCGGCAATAACAGGCTTCAGCTTTCCGTTGCCTATCAACAGTTTCGCATCGTCGTCCGATACATCTACTGATAATAGTACCTTTTACCCTCCGCTAAACTCTGCGGATCTATTCTATGACCTTTCTCCAAAAGAAAATGATTACACATACATACCTAATCGAGAAATTATCCAAGCTAGTTCGAGTCAAGACATTGCCCCTCCCCTTGCCGTCAAAACAGCTCAGCCTAGCACCACCACCACGGATCAACAACAAGATCAAAGTGCGATTTTTGTCAAACACCATCTTTGTAAGACGTGCAAGTTATATACCGGGCAAAATTGTGAGCGATCTAGCGTGCTCAGAATGTTGATAGCCGAACAAAATTTGCCTTACACAAATTTTAGCCGAATTAGTATGTGCACCAATTATGTGAACAATGGGATCGGAAGTCCGGTGGCTATCATTAGGCATTTGATCGAAAAAAAATGGTTATCGGAAAAAACTGCCTATAATGAATTGGGTAGTACGGATGATGAACAGACCGAGAAGATGAGAAGAAAGTTGGCCTTGGAGATGTGGGTCCGAGGTAGAATAGATAATGGCGTTATCACCTCGCCCAGGTTCGATCCGCCAGAGGGACGACCGCCGAAATCGTTGTGGGTAGTAATCGAGCAGATAATAGAAATGATATCACGTGTCACATTTGAATCTTATTCACAACAAAATGATTCAAAAACGAGAATCAATAATAGTAATGAGCCAATCGAAATTTTCGATGACAATGATAGTAATACAAACCGACCCTCAGTAATTTTGATTGACGATTGAATGACGTGTTCATTGTGATTGTCGTTGCTCGATCGGGTCTTTGATGGTTTCGGCACGCCTCGTCTTCATCACTAATGGTGATGGTTGTCGAGTGTTTGGTTCTAATCCTAATGTGTATGATCTTGGATTTTATAATTCTTTCAAATAAGATGTCCCCAAATATTACGCGCATGAACAATAGTTGGTTTTTTGGATTTAATTTTGTTTCGTACTTTATCATTATCATTATTACATATTCCGCAAGTTTAATTCAAACACCGTTTATAAGATCCAAGGATAATATTTTTTCCTCCGATAGCGTGATTTTGATAATCTGGATTATCCTCATGCCGAGGGTATCTTTTGTACCAATCATCCCGTCCGGCATGAATTATCTTATGCTTCAGATATTTGATCACGTGAATATGTATGTGTAATATCCCATTTTTTTCTTGTAAATACGTTTTTTTTTTTTTTTTTTCTTTCTTTTTTTTTTTCCTTGGTAAATATATTACATATATTTATTACACGTCTACAATAAACTTTTTATTTTACATGGAAAGCCGGAAAACATTTTACCTTTAGGAGAATGGTGTGAAAATTGATTACAACATTAGGAGGTTCCTGTATCATATTCGATATCTGATAGACAATAGGATAACCATGCGCGTGTATTATTTCCCTTTTGATAAATTCGATTTTTTTTTTTTTCACCGCCAATCATTTTTTTTTCTCTTCAATATTCACGAACCCTCATGCAACTGATATATCGACAGGCTGTTTAATCCTTTTTTAGACACCAAATAATTTATTCAATCATAGTGTATAAAGATTTTGTCAAATGGACATTGTATTTTTATTTTTGATTCGTGATTCGAAGGACCCGAAACTTTTCAAAGAGAATTACACAATAAACTTTTTTTCATGTTCATATCATGTATTGTTTGTATTGTTACACTGAAAGACAGTACCAATCATAGAGATTACCTGCATGCACGACAATCAAATTAATTATTTCTATAAATACGCAAATGGAAACTATGAAAACCGCTCTTTGCAAAATTCTTGTACGCTTACAAATTAACCGAGAACCTTCACCGTGAGAATCGTGAGAATGGAAAGGCTAAGCGGGCAACAACTGATTCAGCAAGCTGCGGAATTGATCTCCCAAAACAAGCTGGATGAGGCAGTCAAGATTTTTTCATTCTTGGTCGAAAAGTTACCCGATGCCCCCTTACCTCTGTTGAGCAGATGTACTTGGCAAGTCTTTTTAAGAAAATCGATTTGAATTGTGATGAGTGGAAGGCGACCTAATAAATCATTGTCCTTTATTTAACTATTCCATCAGTTTGATACAATTGGAGAGATATGAAGAGGCATTGGTCGACGGTAGCTATTTTGGTTGATTCTTCCGATGTACAGTATACGTACGACCTTCCTTAGTAACGGATTCCTCCCCTTGACAGCGAAAAAAATTCTGGACCTACCCAACATTCCAATCGCGGACGAGATAGCCCCCGGTAATTCTACTTTACACTCTGTCGGATACGTCAGAGCCGCCAAATGTTACAAAGAACTTGGTCAGGTAATGTTCACATACCTCTCTTCTTTTGATGCAATATTAAATTCTACATTGATCGTGCAGATCGAAGAAGCCGAAAGGCTGTTGAAAAAGCGCGTTGAAATTGAGAAAAAGGAGGTCAAACCAAAACCCATCAAGGAAATGCTTTCTGAAGAAAAAGACAAAAACGCGAGTGTTCCGACAAGCAGTCCGAACAAGTCCGTGGAAAGATTAAGGTTACAAGGCAATCAATACTATAAATCTCAAAAATATGAAGCCAGTTTAAATTCCTATTTAGAGGCGTTGGAGATAGACCCCAATGATCTGTTGGTGAATTCGAATTGTGCTCAGTCGTTGATAAAGCTGGGACGATTGGATGATGCGTTGGTGTATGCTGAGAATTGTATTAGGTTGAATATGAAGTGGTCTAAAGGATATTATAGGAAAGGTATGATTATTATTATTGAATATATAGATTGAGAACATGATTTATAGTGGTTTTCATTCATTCATTCATTTTTTGATGCCGCTTTGCTAACTTTGCTTAGGATGTATATTATTTGAACAAAAGAAGTATCAACTCGCGATCTCCGCTTTTACAGCCGCCAAGGTATATGGCGCTGATGAATCTGATATTGATAAAAAAACTGAGATAGCACGTAAACATTTGAAATCCGCTAGTTTGGATTTCAATTCCCGTTCCTCTATCACAAACTTTATCACGTCCAGACTTTTTTCACTCTTTGCAATAATAATAATAGCGATTCTTTCGGCTGTACTATGTTATCATCTTAACTATGACATTTTTAGCTATTTCGTGGGGGTGGTCAGATACATGTTTGATGCCTATTTTGGTGACATTTGGTAAGGGGAACGTTTATCCATCAAAGAAAAGGTCAGAATAGATTACCCCCAGTTCGGGAGAACATTTCACGTGATACGTGTGCCAAAAATATTATTTAATAATTTTCA